GCTCGGCAGGGAGTCTGCTTCTCCCTCTGACCCTCCTCCCTCTCATGCTCTCTGTCTCTCATTCTCTCTCTCTCAAATAAAAAAAAAAAAAAAGTAAAAAAAAAAATAAAAAGAAAAGTTTATATATTACCTCAACTAATCTAGGCCCTAGAGCCTACCGGTAAATAGCAATGTGAACATAATTAGCTGCTTAATAGAGTTTCCCAAGTAAAAATGATTAAAAAGAAATCATAAGTTTTTGAGTTTTTTTTAAGATTTTATTTATCTATTTGAGAGAGCAGAGGGAGAGGGAGAAACAAGCTCCCCGCTGAGTGGGGACTTGATCCCAGGACCCCGGGGATCATGACCCAAGCTGAAGGCAGACGCTTAACTGACTGAGCCACCCAGGTGCCCCAAAACCATAAGCTTTTTTCTTCCATCTTTATAATTGTATGTACTTAAGTAATTTGGGCTTGCCTTTGAATGAACTACCTTGTGTTTATTATTCTTTGAGTCTGCTACCCAGTGAGTACCTGTGAGGCACATTCCCTCCAGAAAAGACAATAATCAATAATAACAAGGCTTTGGGAAGAAAATGATTAATATTCAAAATGTGACATTGACTTTGTTATTCCATTAGCAAATTTTAAATCTCTTCTATACCTTTATTTACTCACCCACAAGTCCTAAAAGAATGTAGGCAATGATGAACAGTATGAAGATGATGCAGCACAGAACATCTGTACAACTCCTAAAGACAAAAAGGAATCCAGAATTAAAAGGGGTCCAAAATGACATCTTACCTAGTAAACAAATATAGGAAAGGGGAAAAAATAATAATAGCAATATGCCATTTCAAATCCAATAATTCCAAAAGGTTTATCAGATGTATTTCTGTAATCAAAGACTTTGGCAGCAATGGAATGGTCATAGTTCCAGGACTAAAAAGCTCCCTCAGAATTCTTAGTATTTATTCTCTCTTGGTTCTTTATTTGTATGTTTTTAGAAACAAGTCCAGCAACATCAAGCAAATATTTTTTTATTTGAAATTGTAATTTAAGTTATTTGATTTTATGATTTTCCTCATTGTGCCTCCCCACTGCATGGTATAGTAAAAAAAAAAAAAGCCATTTTCCATTTCTCCCTCCCCACCATTATCTTTCTACATACACATTTATAGGGTACTACTTATTGGGACACCTGTATGATTCAGTCAGTTAAGCATCCGACTCTTGATTTCAGCTCAGTCCATGATCTCAGGGTTGTGAGATCAAGCCCTGGGCTGCGCATGGAACCATCTTAAGATTCTCTCTCTCCCTCTCCTGCTGCCCCTCCCCCATCTCTCCCCCTCTCTTTTAAAAAAAAAGGTACTATTTATTAAGTAAAGGATTGACTACATAAACTTTCTATGGGGAGTAGATTTGCAACTATATTCACAATAATGTATATAATGCATTCAAAAATGAAATGGCTCAAACCTGTAATTTTACCAGCCATTCCATAAACTAGATATTGTCAAACTAGGTTTAGAGAAAAACTGGCTTGATAGAGACTCATTGATTTGCTAAGGATCACAAGTCAAGCTAAGATCCAGCAGGGATACTCAAGGCTTTCAACTGAAGTATTTCCTAGGCCTAATATTATATCTTGTTCAGCTTGTAAGTGGTCTGGGAGGCCAAAACTATATCCTGAAAGTGAGAAACAATCCAACCATTCTCTATTTGAAACTTAATGAAAAATTTATTAGTAAAGAAAAAAAGATCAAACTATTTGAGAGGATTAAAGGTTGCACATGAGAATTTTCATAGCAAAAACTTCTTGCTCTTTAGAGCATAAGGATATATGTTCTAATGTTTTAGCACAGGCTGGTTGAAGTTACACACTATTTTTTGTGATGGTATTAGTAATAATAATGAATAATAATTGTACAGTAACAGACACATACCTTGTGAGTTTCTTAAGAATACATTTAGGTTTTTAGGGGTAATAAGGTGAGTCGACTTATTTAAGGTCCATGAGAGAGAGGTAGAGAGAGGGTAAAGTAGAACAAATATCTAGATCTCCAATGCCTAACCCTTGCATTTAGCAGTTATCCTAATATTATTTCAATTTTCTGTAAAGCCTCAAATTGGCCGTATCTAAAATTTCACACACATCCCTATTATTCTACCCCACAATAGGAAATGAATCTTTCATAGAGAAAGTTAATCATGCTCAATCCATAAACTATCATTTGCTTAATCCAACTTCAACCCAGGAATTTTAAATTTCACTCATAATTCTTAAATTATGAGAATAATAATAAAAAGAGAAGAAAACAGGTGCTCTAGTTTTCTTTGGTTGGCAATCATTGAAAAGCAAAAACCTGCTCGGAGGTGAGGAGAGTATCTGGTTCACGTGCACTCTGACACACCCTACTCAAGATCAGGTTCTCATCCTATCAGAGCGGTTGTTAAATTGAGAGCAGTAGTTAAATAGGGTGAAATCTAATAGAAATGCCTGCAGGTAAGGAAGTAAAGGAGAGAAAACGAGAACACTGGTGTGCCTTAATTAGAAATCTTGAAGTTGTTAAAGCCCTTGTGGTTAATCAGAACCACCAAGAAGAAGATCAGGTGTGACCAGAAGCACCAGTCAGACTGGCCAGCATCCTATAATTACATACCTATAATATGTTTATATCTATATATTTACATTATATATAATTATATACCATAATTCTTATTTATAATAATCTGTTACATAGTGTTATAATGTTATATATTTATAATGTTATGTAGCAAGCACAGGGAGAGGTAAACATATACTAGCAATGACTGAAAGAAACTTATGAATCTCAAAGGACAGGGCACAAAGAAAGTAGCAGAGCCCAAAAGGAAATTGTTTAAAACTAAAACCCACACTCTTCAGCTACTGGCACTGATAAATAGGCATCAGCTGGAGTTTTGGTTCCATATGGGATTTTATACTATGGTTTCTCTCTCTCTCTTTCTTTATTTTTGGTGCCAAGGACGGGCCATAGCACCAGGGACTACTCCATGCCCACACAACCATCCCCCCACCAGTCTCTCACCACAGTGGGATAGCATTTCTCAATAATTCACACTTTGAGGTGTTTGGCGATTATATCCTGGGACCAGGGAGGATAATGTATTCAAGTCTGCTTTGCTTTTCTGGTACACCGCTTTGGAGAAATAGTAGACCATACCCCCTGGCCAGACCAGTTAATTTTCTCCTGCCTAAAGCAAAGGGATGGAAGATCAGTAAACTGGTTTCATTTGATACAAGTAAGGAAGGGGACCTCAAGGTCCCGTATACTTTTCTGGTCTGTGTGCTGCTTCATGGTCCAAACCAGTGCTGTGGTCCCCAGTGGGTAGTGGTCCAGATTCTCTTTATTCATCTTTATAGCCAGGTGTGAAGTGACTCCATGTGAGAGTTATGGAATAAAGTACGATTACCATCTCCCCAGGGAAAGGGCCTGGCCCTGATGTGGAGATGGGGGTAGGGAACTTGGGTCTCTCATGCTCTCCGTGGTGCAACTTCAGGAAGATGTTCGGCATGCTCACTTGCACGCGGAGGAACACTAGAAGTAGGTGAAGGCCTTCCACACGTGAGCTGAGCCCTCCTCCTTGTGGGTGCCACTTGACCGCCCCCGCTGTGCCCCCAGGCCAATCTAGCAGCCCTGAAACCAGCAATACAACTACCTCCACCTTTTTCAACCTGGACCTCTGTTTGTTATTTTAGAAACTCCCCCTTAAAAATAGGGGGCGGGGTGCCTGGGTGGCACAATGAGTTAGGGGTAGGACTCTTGGTTTCAGCTCAGGTCATGAGATCTAGCCAGTAAAGGGCTCTGCATTCAGTGCAGAGTACGCTTGAGATTTTCTCTCCCTTTCCCTCTGCCCCTCCTCCTATTCACACACCTTCTCCCTCTCCTCTCACTCTCTCTCTCTCTCTATATATAAACAATTCTTTAAAAAAAGAAAAAAAGAAGGGCTGCCTGGGTGGCTCAGTCGGCTGAGCATCTGACTCTTAGTTTTGGCTCAGGTCATGATCTCAGGGTCATGAGATATAGCCCCGTTAGCTCTGCACTCAGTGGGAGTCTGCTTGAAATTCTCTCCCTCTCCCTCTGTACCCATGCCTCCGCCCCACCCTGCGTGCTCTCTCTTTCTCTCAAATAATAAATAAATAAATCTTTTAAGAAATGGAGAGGGGGTGCATAGGTGTGTGTGTGCTTTCAGGTAATTATAATTACCTGCTATTTTTTCCCCATTAATTCATCTGTTTCTCTCCCTTTCCTCAGACATAGTCCATATGCAAAGAAAAAATTACTGTTAGGAAACCACTGGAAAATTGAATTTGGACAAAATATCAAATATAACGGGCACCATTTTGTGAGTCAGGAATAAAGCAGAAGCTTAATTCAAATTTTTACAAGTTGTAGCATCTTATTTTTCCTTACTTTTGGATTTCAGGGCATATGTCACAATCCCAAGTATTCTGTGGGAAATAAGTTACTTTTATTTTTCTTCAGGTTTTTATTTAAATTCCAGTTAGTTAATATACAGTGTAATATTAGTTTCAGATGTAGAATTTAATGATTCATCACTTCCATACAAAAACCCAGTACTCATCACAGGTGCCCTCCTTAATACCCAGAGCCCATGTAACCCATCCTACCAGCCCACCTCCCCTCCAGTAACCCTCAGTTTGTTCTCTATAGTTAGGAGTCTGTTTTCTGATTTGCCTCTCTCTTTTTTCCCCCTATGTTCATCTGTTTTGTTTTTTAAATTCCACATAGGAATGAAATCATATGGTATTTGTCTTTCTCTGACTGACTTATTTCACTGAGCATAATGCCCTGTAGCTCCATCCACCTCATTGCAAATGGCAAGATTTCATTCTTTTTTATGGCTGAGTAATACACCACTTCTTTTTTATCCATTCATCAGTTGAGGAGCATTTGGGCTCTTTCCATAATTTGGCTACTGTTGATAATGCTGCTATAAACATTGGGGTGCATGTATCCCTTCAAATATGTATTTTTGTATCTTTTCAGTAAATACAGAGTAGTGCAATTGCTGGGACATAGACTAGTCCTATTTTTAATTTTCTGGGGAACCTCCATACTGTTTTTCAGAGGGGCTGTACCGGTTTGCATTTCTACCAACAGTGCAAGAGGGTTCCCTTTTCTCCACATCCTTGCCAACACCTGTTGTTTCCTGTGTTATTAATTTTAGCCATTCTGACTGGTGTGAGGTGGTATCTCTTTGTAGTTTTGATTTGCATTTCTCTGATGATGAGTGATGTTGAGCATATTTTCATGGGTCAGTTAGCCATCTGGATTCTTCTTTAGAAAAATATCTATTCATGTCTTCTGCCCATTTTTTAACTGGATTATTTGTTTTTTGGTTGTTGAGTTTTATAAGTTCTTTATAGGTTTGCATACTCACCCTTTTACCAGATACGTCATTTGCAAATATCTTCTCCCATTCTGTAGATTGCCTTTTAGTTTTGTTGATTGTTTCCTTTGCTGTGCAGAAGATTTTTATCTTGATAAAGTCCCAATAGTTCATTTTTGCTTTTGTTTCTCTTACCTCAAGATATGTATCTAGCAAGAAGTTGCTATGGCCAATGTCAAAGAGGTTACTGCCTGTGTTCTCCTCTAGGATTTTGATGGTTTCCTGTCTCACATTTAAGTCTTTCACCATTTTGAATTTATTTTTGTGTATAGTATAGGAAAGTGGTCCAGTTTCA